AATATGAAAACCAGACACCCCAGCAGAAAGCTCCCAGGGCTCCAAGCCTGCAGAACCTATTTAATCCTCTGAAACTTCTATTTACACTTCTTCTGCCCTTCACCCGTCCCTCTGCAACTGAAGGAGATGTAAGGGCTGCGTGTTAGGAGTTGGATGTGTTTTCAGCCATTTCTGGACCTCTGCAAAGATAATGATTGCATCCATAGAGCATAATTTGCTCTAATGGTAGTTAATGGATGAGGCTTGGGCCATTTCTATAGCTAGCCTTGGGTTTAATCCTTGTTCAGTCTCTGAGTCTGGTCTGAGACTTCAAGTTCTTTCTGACTTTCCCCATTGCTTGCTCAACAGAGAACAGCATCATCTAGGATGATGGGACAGTGTTGGTTAAATTCCCCAGTCTTGATGCAGAATATGTTATCAATAGGAGGAAGGAAAAGAAACCACTGTGCTGTCTGGACCAAAGAGCCTGTCTGTTGTTTAAACATGGAGCTTGGAAAAGCTCCGTTTTGACTCAGAACCTCCAATGCAAATAAATGGCAGCTTATTTCTGGCGAGCTTCAAGTTCCTGCATTCCCAAGCAGAGCATCCTCTTCTCCGTCCCGAAATGCTTCATTGCAGGTTTGAATTCAATATACAAAGAATTCCATCTTGGCCACATCAAAAGGGCTATTCCATTGCAGACAGAGGAATTGTTGGGCCAAAGTTTTAGGGATACAAGGAGTTACCTGAATTCTGCCAAGCTTCTTTTGTATTACTGGATACAGGATAAGAAAATTGGTGTCCATTTTAATGACTCCACAGGCCCCAGTGTATTAAAGAGTAGGATGAGTGCCGTGGAGCACCAGGCATGTGTCTTCCAAAGCAGGTCAGCCAGTTCTGGGTCATTTTAACCTACATCCTTTGTTAATTGTCTGTTGCTTTCCGTTTGCCTGTTTCTGTGTGGGTTGTGAGAATGGCTGGCATCTCCAGCCCATTTCAGTCCCTGCCGCTCTCTAGCCAACAATCCAGCTGGTTTTTACCATAAGCATTTTATAAAAGCCTAAAGCAAATACACACGTGGCCCTACCCCTTCACCTCTCTTAGGATTCACTGTTCCCAGGGTGTTACTGGTGCTAATGCACGTTTTCCTCTCTCAAACAGCAGCCTCAGTGAACGGCAAACTCACCCAGATCCCACTGCAGGCTTGCACATACCAGTGCTTGAGGATCAGGGGTGTAACACAGCCTGGGTTCTGCATCCTCTCTCCCACTGGGACCCTGCCCCAGTGTGTGTCTCACAGCTGATGTAAGGGGCCAGTGTGTCAGCATGGAAACGGCTGTGCCGGAGCCCTCGGCCAGGCTGGATGTGCAGCACATCCAGTAAACAATCCTCCTCTCCCTCCCCTGCATCCCCTTCCCACCAGCGCTTCCAGACGGGATGATTTGTAGCTGCATCAGTGGAACTTTAAGCCAATCATTTCCCTGGCAGAACCCTTTGAAATACCAAGTGGTTTTATAATGGGAAGAATTAACCAAGAGCTCTTCCATGGCTGTTGTTGTTTATAATCAGGGCCGACAGAAACGTCATCTTGTAATACTTCGCCCACTTATCTTGCCGCACGCTTATTCATACCAGAAGTGGGGATGGGAGGAAAAGAGGCTTCTGTGACTGTTGTTTTCTGACCTCTTTCTATTTTTAAAAGGAATAGCATCCGCAAAGCGAGCGGGATGGGTTTCACTCAGCCCAACGTCACCTCGTTCCCTCTGTTAGCTCTCCCAGGTTTTGTGTGTACAGTTAAAATAGCCTTGGAGCTGGGATCCTAGGGACTAATGGTGCAGAGCTTGGCCAGGCTTGCAGCATTGTGCTGCCCTCTCCGGCCAGACTGTGCTGGGAAGGGACTGGGCTGCTCTCCATCTTTTTCCCAGTGGGGAATTGCTTTGCACCAGCTCAGCCTAAAGCTCCCGGTCTGGTCCTAGATCATCCCAAGCCTGAGGGGTTCAGTTATAGGGGCAAGGCTAGGAAATGCAAAGAGTCCTTTTCTATGATGGGTTAGAGAGTAACAGAAATGAAGGAGGAGATGAAGGCAACTCTTGTAGTCATGAGTGCAGCCATGTGAGCAGAGTTATCTGCTCCTACAAAGAAGAAGGGGAATGATTTGCTGTCGTGGCCTAACAGCCCACCCCAGGGGTGACCTTTAGGCTTGGAAACTTAGAACCTGATTCCTCCATACGTTGCTCTGATGCAGCCCAAATTCCCGTCTCGTTTTCCAAGGAATCCTGCACCAACCGGTCACTTGAGGGCTGTGGAACCCTATTTCTGAGCTGCACAAGATGGTAGACAGAGAGGCAAGACTCCTGACACCACAAACATGGGCTGTGCTAACGGTGAATCAAGTCCTCAGGCTTCATCTATTTTGCTCTGGGTCTCATCTACAACAACCAACCAGGGTCCTCATTAGTGCCAATGGAAAGAAAGCTTCAGTGCCCACTGAAGCACAGGAATAGGTTGAGCTTTCCCAAAGAAATGCAAGGGAAGCCAGGGAGTATAAATCAGTTGTTGGAACGTTTAGCCAAGTGCAGTGGGAGCTGCTTTGAAGTCGGGCTGTATAAACAAACATATATACATCATTATTTACCACCTCCGGAATGGCGATGGAAGGGAACACCAAGCTATTCAAAACACATTTCTTCCACTTTATTCTTGTTTATAAATACCTCCTCGAGTTCCCAGGCAAGCGAAAAGCCCAGCCCAGCAGGGATCATGGAACTACATAGAGGGAGTACTCTGCTTCGGGAGATAGGTATAACATGGGAGAGGAGAGAGTATGAAACCAAGTCACACGCTTAATCAGCTGCAGACTCATTAACGCAGCTCATTCCCATTAGTGTCTTGCCATTGAGAAATTCTTCTTGTGGCTGCATTTACAGGCACGGGCAGCCTTCAAGCTTCAGCCTCTTGGCTTCCATCACTTAGTAAAGGCGATGGTTTTGCTGAGCCAGCGGTCCTCGAGAGGTCAAGGAGAAGAATTAGGCTGTGTGCTTTGATATCTCCCCTTGAGGGACAGGGGTGGGACTGTTCCCAGAACTTTGAGGGGGTTGCATTGCCTCTGAACACTGAATAACCTCGGGTTTACTGTGCTGTGAGGGTCATTTCAATGGGGCCGACTGCTTTATGCATCCCGGCTTACGCCTCTGCGCCTCTTGCGAGCAGACGGTCCCCACACGAGTTCCTCATCAGTGGTTCTTGCTCCAGGCAACTCCGTGGCTCTGCAGTCCTTATACACCTGGTAATTCTCAACAGCAGCATCCGGCTATCTGCAGTGGGGTTTAATGTCTCGTGTATAAATGCAGTCTTAAATTACACCAACCATCCGCCTTCCAATGAGAAACAAGACCAGTGCGTTATCTGTGTCCTGTGCAAAGGATGGAGTGTAATGTCTGCAGTGATACAGAACAGCCGTGGTTCTGTCGTGCTACTGCACCAGACAGATGGGACTGGGGCATCATTACTGGACGAGCAAGAAGGCAGAAAAAGGTAATTAAGGGAATCTGGAATGAATTCTCCCCATAGGACTGATGATGTGATGGTGACTTAGGCCAGCAGAAAAGCTCAGCTATGATTTGGGGGTTATTAAGTTAAAATCTATTAAAGGTGTATTTTCACCTCCAGCTGATAAGGAGATGGCTGCTCTGACTATAATTGTCCTGACTGAAGCGCTTGTTTGGAATAAATAGATGAGCTTTCATGAATCTGGAGTTACATGTGATAGGACCGACACCGGGGCACTCGGAACATTGTGTTTGGGGCATTTTAAAGTATCTTGCTTTGATTTTAAAGGAAATGTAGTGAAAATTAACATTTCTTCAGTACTGCAGTTCTGGGGAGGGAGAAAAAGGGAAATTTATGTTCAGTTTGGAAAACTGAAAAGAGAAAATTCAGAAATTGCGTTTTTTTTTCAGACAAAGAATTAAAATTCAGATTTGAAACCAGAAATGTATTGAAAATGTTCTCCATTAGGTTTGCATATGTGCTGAAAGCCAAACTGCCTAAGTTTTAAACCTGAAGGGGACTTGGTAAACGCAGACTGTCCCAGGCAGGCTGTTATATGAATCTGTAATTATCAAATGGAAATCCACAGTAGCCTGGATTCTGCAAAAGGAAAGGATGCTGCCTCGCAAGCAGGGCATGGTTGTCCATTGGAGAGAAGCAGATAACTGAAAGACCTCCAGCAAAAGACACTTACTAGGATTTTACACATAATAGGAACCATTGCACGTTTTTTAACAAGTTGTGGCTTAATGAGAAAGGCCTTTGGGTTTGTGAGGAGGCACATTTAAGTGAGACATGGAGAGAGGATTCCTCCAATCTTATGGACATTGTGACCTGCGGAGTCAACGCCAAGCTCCTCTTGGAAGGTGTGCTGCTCCCTTCCTGTTTTCCAGTTAACCTGCATCTGATAAATAATAGAATCTGGAATGGGTTGGGATGAAGGGAGCTTAAAGCTCCTCCAGCTCCAACCCCAACCCCTTCCACTGGAGCAGCTTGCTCCAAGCCCCTGTGTCCAACCTGGCCTTGAGCACTGCCAGGGATGGGGCAGCCACAGCTTCTCTGGGCACCCTGTGCCAGTGTTATCCGAGCGCCAGGTAGCTGTGAATAAGTTGCCACATGTGCTTGTTGCTGCTCCCAAACACCTCCACCCTTGTAATTCTAAGTAATAACTAAAACTGTGGCTTCCACCAATGCTCTAGATGCTGGTGTCAGAACCAGCGCTCTGTAGACCTCTTCAGGCTTGTATTGCATTTACTGAAGCTCCTGTGTTTTTCCAGCAGTGGAGATGGACTTGGCTTTTCAACTGTTCAGCTTTTAACAGTAGCACCAATGCTTTTCCACCAGGGCAAGACCCTGGTGTTCCCATTCAATGGTGCTATGTGTGAATAGACAGTTTTGCCTTGGTTTGCATTGTGGAGTTGAACAGCCTCACCAGACAAACTGGAACTGTTTCTCATTTTCATTTCTGCCAGGAATCACAACCATCTCTGTGAACGTTCAGCCTGAAGGAAGCTGGAGGGATCCCACATTGTGAACTAAACCACCAGGACGATATCCATCATGCATGCTCTGAAAGGTAATGTGAAGATGCAGCTTAAAGCACTGTCAGCAAATGGCTTTTGCAATGTACAGCTTTCATCAGGTCTACAAAACATGGGGTTTGATGCTTCTATCACTCTACTAAGCTAGACAATAGCAAGTTAAGTGCTGTAAAACTGCAGTGCTCTGCTTTTACTCCTTCTCTTTCAACTTTCCTCTGTGTTGTCACCACCCAGGGGAAAGAAACACCTAAATTTAACTTCTTATCTCCTAAAATGATTGCCAAGACTGGAAAAAGGGACTGCAATAACTACCACCAGAATAACCTTATCAGGACAAGAAATGCTCTAGCCTGCTTTCCAAGGGTTTCCAAGTGATACCCAACTGGTGCCTTGCTTGGGAGGGACGTCGGGTTCATTGGTTCTCTCTTTCCTTTGTGTTCTTCATGCTGAAGGTAGATCTGATGCCTGGGTGAGCAACTGCTCATGGAACTTCTTCAGTTCAGAAGGATGAGTTAATTGTTTCTTCCCAGTGCTACTTCATGCATCATATGACAAGGCACATCTGTTCAGTGACTAATAGAAAGAGAATATCCCATGCGTGTAAGCGGCACAAGGCTGCCTCACACTCAACCCTTCTGAGCCTTTTTCGAGGGCTGGTTATGCAATAAATAAAAGGGGACAAATTCATCCCAGGGAAGAACTCTTTTAGTTCAGCTTTGAAAGCAGTAATTTGCCTTGGAAAAATAGCCAACATCAAAATAATAATGAGTGCATGTTACTGCTGACAGTCCTGGAGACAAGAATTCTCCACGCATCCAGAGCCAACTTCTCAAGTCTTCGTATCTTAGCTCTTACACATGGAAAGCCCTCAGCAGAGGAGGTGGAGAAAGGGAGTGGGAAGGCTTTGTAGCACTAAATGCCTCAAGAGCTGGCTTTCAGTGAACAGGCATGCCAAGCCTTGATAACCAGCAGTGAGGACATTGATGGCACCCTTTGCTGTGTGCTCCAGTGCTGAGCCCAAGGGATCCCATATAGAAAGATCAGGGCAGGGAAGAGGGGCCATCAACATCTTCATGCTGGCTCGGGTGCCAACAGAACACCAGTCATTTGCCTTTTGCAATCCATATGCAGGTTGTATAGGACCTCCCTGTAGGGGGTGAGGTGAATGGCATTTGGTCTGTGCCGTCTGGGGTTGTCAGTTTAATGATGTAGGACTCAGGGAACAGTTTAATACAGAAATCTAGCCGGCAGCCTCATTAGTCCTTGGAGCTTTGCAGTGCTTTGCAACCGGTGTGCAATAAAGGGGAAAATAAGAACATATTGTAAAGGAGTATTTCATCAGCTGGAGGCTGGGGAATAAATCAGAGAGAAGCATGCATTGAAAGTAATGTATCTGCAGGATCTGGCTGGACTTTGGGATTTGTTTTCTGTCTTTTTTGTAGTCACAAATTGTTCACTGGGAAATTGCAGCTTCAGATGGGGTAGAGCTGCATCGTGCTGTTAAAGTTTATGAAGCAGTGTCACCAGTGGAGCTCGGTTACTTCCACCAGCTGAAGTGTTGGCCTTCTCTATGTTTTTATGACCTTTCTCATTGTTCTTGATTGCTTGATGAAGACAATATATTCCTTCCTTTGTGTAAGTGACCTGTGATGTCTTTTGTTCTCCTTTTTAACAAGTTAAAATCCAGAACAGAAGTCATCACTGGCATAGCAGCTCTCTTGGGATAAGGGAGGGGAGTACTCCAGGGAGAGAGAACAGTTATGGAATCACAGAGTCATAGGGTTGTTTTGGTTAGAAAACACCTTTAAGGTCATTGAGTCCAACCATTAACCCAGCACTGCCGACCTCACCTCTAAACCCTGTCCCTAAGCAGCACAGACAGGCTCAGAGCTCATTACTGGATGTTCTGCACATGAATCCCCATGCACTGCATGAGGAACTGGATCTATGGAGTCCATCTCCACCATCTCACCCTCGGTACCACTGGGAACTCAGTGGGCATCCGGGCAGTAATGGCAAAAGCAGAAGAGAGTATTTCCTAACACTCTGCAGTCAGCTCTAATGATTATCAGCCACAAGCTTTAGCTTAAGCAACTGCCATTCTTGTTTTAGCCTTAAACTGAAGCTGTAGCTCAGTATTTGCTGATCAACGCTATGGAGTTATCCTGCCTGGATGCTCCTTTGAAGCACGCAGGCAGCTTCACGGCGTCAGTGGAAAGATGAGGGTAATATTGTGAGTGGCGAGCTTCCAGTTCTTCATAACTGCAGCCGTGGGATGATTGCCTTTTGTTTAAATGTCAGAGGATCAGGGATGTCAGAGACGAGAAACGGCCTTTTAGATCATCAAATCTGCATCATAGCATGGAAGTCATGGGGCCAGAGTAGCATTGTGTGAGCATCAGCATTATCCCATCGGAGTTACGGTGCGTTAGCACTTCTGACTGACATCCCAACCGAACCCAAGTGATGGAGGGGCACATGGCATGAGGTATTCACTGAAGAATTTGACTGCAAAACACATATGGCCATACTTTGTATTTCACGGTTAAAGTAAGATGAAATATGTTAGGAATGATCATGAAGGAGCTTTGGAGGCCAAGCTAATCACAATTATTTCAAGTATAGGCAATGAACCGGAACCTGGATATAAAATATTTCCCAATAGCTATTGTAGTACAACCAGCTGTACTCTGATTCACTTACACTAGTTAGTTCCTGCACTGAAAATAGCTTTAAGATCGATGCTACTGCTCAGGAAGGAAAGGACTGTGTTAGGTACTAACCAGCACAGCTCTGTTGGCAGCCATACAACATCCATTTCTACCAGCTGAGAATACAATCAGTGTTTCTTTAATACTGATACCTAACCCAGAATAACTGCTACTCCTCTTTCCTTGCTATTACAAACCAAGAATACATCTATATCTTTATCTTCCTGAGCGTCGATCAAGTACAACCTAGACTGTGAAATTCAAGTAGCTTCAAGCAGATCAAGACCTAAAGCAGCCCTGTGTGGCTGCGACGGTCTCGTGCCCCTGTTGCAGAGATGCTAAGGAGGAAGCCCTGGAGAGCTGAATTGACTCAGTTTGTGAGTTCTCGGGCAGAGCAGGAAAGGAGCCGTATTCTTCCTGACACCTTAGCTCACCACCAGAGGAGCCTCCCCTGTTGCTCGACACTTGTGTGGGTTCTCCTCATTTTTCCCTGTTTTTTTTTTTTCCATGGGTTAAATCTCTTTGATTTTTTCTCCTTTTTCATTTTGTGTTTTTTCAGACTGTGCCTTGGCAGGAGCAGTGATTTTCTGGTTAGTAATCCACTTATTTTGTGGTCGAGAAAATAGCTCAGCTAACAGCTTGGACACGTTGTTCACTGGCATTGTTGGCCACTCATGTGGCGTGAGGAACATGCAAGGAAACATGTCCTTTTGTGTTTAACCCCCCCTTCCCAAACGGAAGAGTGACCCGCTTCCTACTGTGTGCATACCTTAAGGCTTGGAAGGAGGCTGCACATTTCATATAAGGATACCTACAGGTATGTAGGCTTGACAGATACAACCACAGCCACATGCGTATGATTGTCTGTCTGAGTTGCTATAGATGTAGGTGTAGATCTGTGTCACAATCAGACATCAAAACCTTTTACCTGAAGGTGTATTTATTCCTGTAGGTAGATTTGCTTGTAGACTGCATTTTCATCCGCTGGAGCTGCCACACAGCTCAAGTATTGGTTAGGTAAAAGCTCCCTTTTTCTTCTCTCGCAGCTTGTGAACTGGTGGGAGCATTCTTTTCAGAAGCCATAGATAGAGTCAATATGCCTTTTCCTCAAGGATGAGGAAAAGAAGCTGAACAAATAGCAGCTGTCTGTCAGTACAGTGCACATGATGGCTGTAGGATGTTTGAGGATGTCAGATTCCATTGGAAAGAACAAGTTTATTTGTGTACGTTGCTTTGTGCTTGTGGCTACCAGAATAAAACTTGTGCTGAAGAGGAAGGCTTAAAGAGCAGATGTACCATAGAGTTGGAGTAAGCTTGTTGTATAGACTTGTGGTACGTTCTATAGGTCCTAGATCTTGGCTCCCTCACGTTAGACACTGCATAAACCATTTGCAGGGGCCTGACTCTTCTCCAAGGAGCCTAAATAGACCAGAGAAGAGGTTTGACAGAGGCAGAGTTATTAGTTCCTTTCCCCAAATAGAAAACCAGGCAGAGGATGAGGAAGTGGCTTGCCAAAAATCATGTGTAGCCAGGGTGACACCGCAGATCTGCCGAGTCTCAACCCAGTGCTTTAGAACAGATCAGGGGGAATGGGTGCATATACCTCTATAAAGTACAAGTTTGGAGTTATGGGCCTGGAGAGCAGTGGAATTTGAGTGAGAACAGAATGTGAGGGCTGTAGAAGCAGTCAGGTTTTATCGGCCTGTTGGATAAAAGATGACCAGGTGTTATTAATGGCAGCATCGTTGTTGAGTGTTGCCTGACTGAAGACCGCAGGACTCTAAACCCACTGTCTCCACAGGCCATTGCAAAGTGGTCCATGGAAGCCACGCTGCCGCCCGGCATTCGACCTGCTTCCCTGCCTCAATCTGTCCTTCCCGTCAAAGCTATCGTTCATGTTAACACGTAACAGGGGAACCTCGGCCTTGAATTCATTAGGAAGCCCTTGGAATCCAACCAGCCTGGACAACCAACCTTCTGTTTAGCTGCTTCAATGTACATTTTTATTAGGGAGCCAATATGGACTTCCTACAGAGTGATTCATAGGTCATCCCCCCTGAGCTGCTGGGGTGAGCCCGATGGTTTCTGGCTTTTCAACCGCATTCACTTACGGACTGTCATTCAGAGACTAATAAATCTGGCTCCAGTCACCAGACTCTGTGGTATATCCAAGGCGACTGGGGAGTCTAAATTGTTCAACCACTGTCTTGTTTAGAGGCTGGTTTGAATGATGCTTTTCCATTATTGCAGGCTTTACTAATTAGTTTTATTGCAGCGATGCCAGCAAGGGCTGATACTGCAGTGGGACAGCACTAGGCAAACAGAGTCAGAGGTCTGTGCCTGAATCCTAACCCTATTAAGACAGTTAGATAACTCTGACGAAGAAATAGAGGGGTGCAATGCTTATAGCACGGTTTAGGTTGGGTTGGACCTCAGTGCGGGTCCTCTTGCAGATCCTCAGCAGGAGTGGCAAACTCCACTTTAACAGAGTGAAATTCCGTAGATTCAGGCAGAAAACTTGGATGTGGTCTTCAAGCAAATCCTCACACTTGTTTCTTTCAAGGCTTCTCTATAGAGGAGCTCATTTTGATACCACCTTCTTGGAGACACAGTAGGCTTTCAGACACACTCAGGCCGTGTTAAGTTGTTAAATATTGGAAGTTCTCAGTATTAGTCTTTCTACTAGTAGCTGTTATCTTCAGGAAGGTAATGAGAGGGCAATAGGCACTGCCTTGGCTTGAAAGCCAGCTCTCTTTCCTTCCAATGGAAAGGAGGCTCAGAAGGTCAGCAAAGCAACAGGGAAGAAGTGTCTCTGATCTAAAGCTTCCTGTGGCTCCCAGAAACGAAGAGCTCCCTGGTGCAGCTCAGAGCAGTCCGTCTGCCAGCAAGGTGAAACAGAACACTGGAAGGGGCACAAAGATGTTCATTAAATACTCTACAAATATAAAGGAAAAATGCCCCAAGGGCGCTATCAGGAGAGAGAAGCAGGATCCCGGCTCCTCGTGGTGCTAGGTATGGGTGCAGTTCCTCGGTCACTCAACATTTCTCTCCTTATGCTTTTGATGAGCCCAGTTGGGCATCTCAGAAGCTGTATTAAATTCAGCCTGGAGAGAGCCTGAGCACAGCACCGGGAGGGCGAGCTGGGTGAAGTCAGGTTGGCCATTGCTCTGCACGGAGGCATTTCAGGTTCCATACGGAAGTTCAAGCAAACACTGCAGTAGACACAGTTTGTTGTAGAGGGATGTTGGGGAACAGGGGGGAGAAGTAACTGGAAGTGACTCGAGAGGCAGAGCCCAGAACTCCTGACATGGACCTGGCCGACCAACCCACCATCATATCCCTTTTTTCCATGTAAATAACATCTGATGATGAAGACAGTGGAATTTTACAGTGGTTCACAAGCAAACTCGATTTTCAGGTTCAGTAACATTGCCAATCAGTAGTTGCTGTTTTCAGTTCCCAGGTTAATTTTATGGAATATTCTGCCTTGTGCCAGACTCTAATGAATTCCAAATGATTCCTGCTTTCCTTTCTTTCCCCCCCTTTCGCATGTTACTGTCTTACAAAGGAACTAAACTCCCAATTTGCTCTAAGGCCGGTAATTATATGCATAAGTGATGAGAAATCTCAAGCATTTTTCTGCAAACCAATTACAGACCTTTCGGAGCAGGATAATGCACTTCCTGAAGAAATACATTAAAAGCTCATTTAAACAGAAGTAAACGAAATAACATCGCTGAGCTACACAAGGGGAAATTCAAGGTACAGGTTTAGAGGAGAAAAAACCCTTCTGGTTTCTTTGCACGGTACTTTCAGACTCCGGTTCCTAATGGATCTCAAGGACTTGTTTTCAAAGCAAACTCTGATACACCAACTTGTTGAACTGACTGTTGGTCTGTACGCAAGCTGCCTTGGGTGAAGCACTTTGTAGTTTTAGGGTATGATCTTTGCATTCGCTTTTGCTAAGAATACTTGGGGTGAAAGTCAACCTGATAGGAGGCTCTTTCTACATGCAGTGTTGAGTTTCCAACAGCCAAGCTAGCGCTTGGTAGCATACACTTGACCTAATGTAGACAGTGACAAAAGAAGCCTACAACCTCTGAGCAGATGAATCTATTCCCTTCAGCATCAAACAGGTAGAACTGAGGCAGAGATTAACTCATGTAGGGGGAAAGGTTTGCACTTGCATCTCTGTAGGCTCACAGAGAAGAGCCAAAAGGTCTACAGATGTTGTCCTGAGCACGGTGCTGCTGGGCCTCTCCTCACTGTTGAGGGCTGAAGAGTGCATAGAACTTCTGCTTGTTGCCACTTGGTCC